CTTGCAAAATGAAAAAATAGCTGCATGTACTTAAGGATACACTAGATGCGATATGACGATTGTTGTTATCGCAGTCGAAGTACCAAATACTGAACAGGACTGTTGTAGTTTTGCGTCCCCATTAGTTGACATCGCGCCTGAAGGCAGTCTTTCGCACAAAGGTTCTTTGGGAGTAGGGGATTACTTTCCTAGCGAAACACGTCTAACATAAATTGCCTGTGATTTCCTACAGATATCCAGAATCACGCAGCTGCGAGAAGGAAATTGGATGATGAGACGGCTGAAGAGCTGCTGGAAAAAATTGCAAATGGAGATATTTCGGACGGGGATTTTTCCGATGATGAATCCGCCGAAGCTGACCTGGAAAGCACAGTAAGTGCAAGTTTATTTCTAGCTTTTTTTGTTAAACTAAGTGAAAACGTATTTATTGCAGGACGCTAATGCCGGGAGCAGCGAATTTACGAGCACTTCAGGAACTCCAGGAAGCTCGCAGGCTGTCCATGTGCAGCCGAAAGACAGCATCGCATCAGAGAAGTTTTCTGTGAAATGGGAAGCGAAAGAATTTTCTCCCCCTGACACTGCTTGTTCCTATCGACCGCAAGGAGGCTCAGTGCCGCAGGAGCCACTGGTGTATTTTAGCCGGTATTTTTCACCTCAGATCTTTCGAGATTTTGCTAAATTTACAAACATGTATGCGCTTCAGAGAGATGGCACTGAACTTGGAACCACCGAAGACGAAATCAAGGTTTTCTTTGGAATGCTCATGCTCATGGGGGTTTTGAAATTCCCAAGAGTGCGGATGTACTGGACTACTGCCACAAGAATTCCGGCAATTGCTGAAGCAATGAGTGCAAAAAGGTTCTTCAAGATCAGAGCCGCCTTACACATCTCGGACTCTAATGCTCCGCGAGATCCAAACAGCCAGGACAAGTTTTGGAAGGTTCGTCCCGTCATTGAAGCAGTCAGGCAGCGATGCTTGCTGCTGGAGCCTCTCGAGCATAACAGCGTGGACGAACAGATGATTGCATTTACGGGTCGCGTTGCAGCGAAGCAGTTCGTCAAAGGAAAACCCAACCCAGAAGGAGTCGAGGTGTTTGTCCGCTGCAGTTCCGACGGCCTCGCACATGACTATGAGCTATACCAAGGCAAAGGCACTGGTGTGAGCGCGCAGCATTCCCACCTCGGACTTGGTGGCTCCGTTGTGATGCGACTTGTCCAGACAATGCCGCAAGGACAAAATCTAAAGTGCTTTATGGACAACTACTTCTCATCAGTGAAGCTTTTTCTTGAACTGAAGGAGATAGGTATTTTGGCCAGCGGCACGATTAGGGCAAACCGCTTGCTTGGATGCCAGCTGAAGACCGAGAAACAGATGAAGACAGAAGGCAGGGGATGCACCGATCACAAAGTTTCTAAAAAAGGAGACATCATGCAGGTCCGTTGGCAAGACAATGCCGTGGTCAACATGGCCTCAACCCATGTTGGAACCGGAAACACCGGCAAGGTGAAGAGGTGGAGCGAGTAAAAAAAAACGCACATCGACATAGACTGCCCTGATGTAATTCTTCAGTACAAGTACATGGGAGGAGTCGACAAACTTGACTTCGTGATGTCGTTCTACCCCATGCGGACGAAAACGAAGAAATGGACCGTAAGAGTAATATCTCACTTTGCCTCTTTCTCTTTGGCAAACAGTTGGCTAGAGTATGTAAGAGACGCAGATAAGGAAAAGCTGCTCAAAAAGAACACTATGGACATGCTGGCATTCCAGACAGATGTCGCCCATAGCCTAATAACATGCAACAAGACGGCCCAAAAGAAGCGCGGTCGGCCAAGCAATGAAAGTCCCCAGCCGGTGGCAAAGAAGGCTCACAATGCCGAGCCACTACCCACGAACACAGTTCGGTACGACGGCTGCTATCACTGGCCAGAACATGTCAGCATGCCATTTGCCCAACGGTGCAGACGAGAAGACTGCAGCTCAAAAAGCCGAATTCGCTGCAAGACTCGTGCGGCATTTTCCTTTGTTTGTCGGCACAGAAGAACTGTTTCTTCCTGTTTCATACGAATTAGGCTGGCAGATCTGGGGGTCAAGATTTCTAGATGAAACACTCTTCTCTTTTATTTCTCTTACAAGAATGTGTCAAGAAAATGTGTAGAAAATGTGTAGTAAGCTGTTTGAAATATCTTAAAAAATTTTCCTACTTGGAGCGCAACGTGCACAATTGTGGACGCAATAAAAAACATAAAAAAACGAAAGACAACTTGTTTTGACACTACATTTAGTTTTCATGTATTTTTTTGCTTTTATAAATAAGCTCAAATTATTTTTCCAGTAAAAATTGTTAATTCGCGCCTACATAAAGCTACATAAAGCTGAGGGGCGCCTATATGCGATCGTTTATGGTTGAGCGTTACTCAGTGGCCTGTCTTCGACAAATTTAGTGCCAGAAAATGAGTTCAAATACGGCTTGTGCCGTCTTCCAGCCTGTCTTCTGTCGGACAGTTTTGATCTAGTTATGAGGCCATTGGTCAATATCGCATTTGAAAGTGACTCAGTTGCAAGAATGCCGTCATCTGCATCGTCGATTCCTTGCGTTGGGTTACCTTGCTCCTCAATCTCGATGGTTGCTGTGTTTTTCTGATTTTCTGTAAAAGTACGTCCGTTTTCTGGCGTATGAGAAGTTGTCATCGCTGTTTCTTAGATGGTAGGGGTACTAGCGGGTTGATATGCACTCACATCAAGAGTGGCAGAGGGGGCTCGGTCGGGGGTGACTGAGGCGTTGATCCTGGAGGCTCAGTCATCATGGGGATGTCCCCACTCGATTCAACAACCTCGCTTGCATCCATCAGGTGTTTTGTGGTTGAGTCGTCTGCTGTTCCGATCCTAAGTCTGTCGGCGAAGGTGAGGACGTGGTCAGCAAGTTTGTGATCGTACTTTTGACACTTCGTGCACCTCGGAGTCCTACAGTGGCGGCGGATGTGGCCAACGCAATGGGATCGCAGACACAAAGGAGGTCGGCGATAATCAGTAAGATTTGGCACCCATAAATAGTCAGTAGGCGCGGAATTTCGCCCACGCTTGTGTCGTCTGTCAATGTCAGTTGCACCTTTCTGTTGAAGGTAGTGATGCCTTTCATTCCTTCGTATTTCCACTTCTCTTGTACGATAGAGCTCCCGGTACCGAACGGTTCCAGCGCTTCAACAACTTCCCGGTTTTTCATATGTGGGTTTTTCTTTTCTCTTTTCATGTTGCCACAAAAGTGTGGGTTTCTCCTTTTTTTTAAATCTGGGTTCACGACGACGCATTTACGTCTTTTCACCTTTAGCTCTTCGCAGGCGACGAGCATGCTTTTCGCGAGAGAAGTCGCGCTATACGACCATCTAGACATGCGATATTTGGCATTGTCTTATGGCGATAATGTCCTCTCGGTCCATTATGCCACTGAGGGCGTCTCGGAAGTCCGGGGCTCGGTAGGGTCGCGCAGCGAGATCTCCATGCAGGAATACTGAATTAGGAACGAGGTTACAAGTAGGTGGACGTGGCATCAGCACTCGGTAGTTATCCATTGGGGAAACGGTAGAAGCAGCAGCAGTGTACGTAATACTTAGGCCGGAGGCCGATTTGTTTAAACGGCGTCTTCTCCATTCTCCGGGCCATGCAGAAACGCTTAAACGGCTTGAGAACGAGCGGGGGTTTATATTTAGCCATCGCATTCCACTCTTTAAGGCGAAGCTTAAGAGACCTCTTGTAATTTTTGTATGATGCATGAGCAGTGTAACTGCCGCGCAAAAAAGGAGAAAATTTGAGATTGCCGCGTGCATAAGCACTAACTTCACAGGGATCTAAGACATAGCATTGTCTTTTCTCGCCTCTTGAGCTGGCGCGATTGAGAACCTGTCTCCCACAATTCGTTGAGTCGCCACTAGGTTCCTCACAGTTCCTTTTTGAGTGTCACGCCTAACACCAGACATTTCTCCAGGGCCTGATCAAGAAATATAAAGGCCTGAAAACGATAAACACCTGCTCCGTCCCCGTTATTCTAAAAAAAAATTAGAAAATGGCATCAAAAATTAGTGTACTCCAGCAATATTAATATTGTGACGGAGTATCTGTGTTCGATACTGTTTTTATGTACCTGGACGTTTTCTTTTCCTCTCCTTTAATGAAAAAGGTCGAGCGTGGTGAAGGAAGTCGGGCAGCTCGGCATTAAAAATGGTCTGCCCATCAAACAGCAAACAGAGCCCCGGACTTCGAACAGATGTACAAGTGCAGCTCGAATGCATCCTCATTTACAGCCTTTCGCGCATAAAGCGTTTCTCACTTTCGTAGTTTCTTTCGGAAGCGAAAATGTTTCCGCCCGACTCTGAAAAATGATTGTCCTTTTCACGATATGCACTCGCCCTGAAACCTGTAGCAATAATAACAGCTGCATGCTTGGCGATCCAAGTTTCATTGAGGTTTCATATATTAAGCAGGTTAGAATAAATGGTCCCCGTTCCCTCGCGCTCGGAGATGAGGCCCTGAACTGCAACATCGTTGGCCCTCCATCTCCATTAATACCTAGCGCTGTATTTCTCCCTAGCCCAGCGACACCGTGCTTAGAAACGAAAATTCACCCTCTCAACAGGTAGTTAGTTGAGCCAAGGCCACCTAAAAGAGAAGGCCTGCTCGTGACGTCATCACGAGTGGAACCCCGATTCAGCTCAAGCGGCAAAGACGCTGAAGCTTTACGAGAGTCACAGCAAAGCGGCAGACGCCTCCATCTTGACGTCGCCGCGTTCCAGCGTCGCGCTCGTTGGGAGATGCAGTGAGACGCGCTGACGGTGACGCTGACGCAAGCTAGGCGGAGCTGCGTGAGGCCACTTCTGATGACGTCTGGGGAGAGGGGTCCAGGCCTTGTATTTTAAGTGCTATTGGCTGAGTCAAACAGAAACAAATGACATAACAGTAACAAACGATACAATGTTTGTAAAGGGCCATGAGGGAGCGTACTTACTTTGGTGTACGGAATACTGTAAAGAAGAAAAAAAAAACGCTCAAATTAATATTCGATTACATGACTGGAAGATTGCGTGCATTTCAAGTTTGGCAGAGAACATTGTGTTAACTTATACTTATACAAGCAAGACAGGCGAGTTAAATGACATCGTCACAATCGTGTGGAACACACAGATGTAACAATATTTCTCAATTTACCAAATTTGCAGAAATAAATGTTACTTCTTTCTTCTTTAAATATTCACGCGAACACATAAAGCCATCGCTATAGTATGTTCTCGCGAACGAAAAGGCTTTTCTGAGATTTTGTATAGAGCGACAGTTAAGTGGCAACAAGGATTTAATGCTCAAGATGCCTGAAGTGTGGTTTTGCCAAAGCGAATCTTAACTAGTAATTCTAGTATATCCATAATTATTTGAGCAACTGGCATCTAAATTTCCGCAGTTTTACACTCACCAGGGAAAGTAAAAAGAGGAGCGAAAACTGAAAACTTTGAGCCATAGTATCTGCTTAATGAGCAGAGAAATGAACAGGTGCCCCCTTCCTTCTGCGTAAATGCTCTCCCGTCACTACCTTTTATACAAAAAAAAAAAAAGCTTTAAAGAGAGTGCGAGTGCGCTTATAAAAATAAAGCAAAAACTAGACGTGAAGAAAATTTTATTTTCAGGGGAAGGTTCGAGCTTTTTTTGAAAGGACGAGGTTCAACAGAGGGCATTTACCGGATGCCACGTTTGAGTGCCTATGCACACCTCATACACCAGCTCACGTTTACAAACAAAGCAGAGCGCCCCAAGCGGAGCGGCACTGGCGCCTCGCATGAGGGATGGGGTGTCGGCAAGAAGCGCCCACAACCCGCATCAACAAACCATCAGAATCTGATTTCGTCGACGTCGGTTTGAGTTTTCGTGCTCTCTTTCGCGTTGGAAGTGTTGATTCTACGTCTTCCTGGCAATGTCTTACCACTCTAGTAGCCTCAACGAAATTAACGAGGCTCGTTACATCGCAAAACTTCGTGTAAATAATGTGACGTACGTCGATTCATTCGGGGTGAACGCCGCAGAATGTACCTTAAAGCGTTATTTGCATGATAATATTCTGCTCGCAATTTTCAGTCGCGACGTCAATTGGGTTGCACCAGTGTGTAAAGTAGCTGCGATGCTAGACATCAATGTTGAAAATCGCAAGCAGAATCAGATCATGTGAATCATGCAGTACGAGTGGGTGATTGCCAGTGGTAAAAATGATCAACATTTTTTTTTTGTATCTACTGTTTACACCGAGCCTATTTACACCAAACAACCTTCAAGTTTAAACGTATATTGAGCCATGCACTTCTTATCGCTACATTTGGTCTACTGGCGGCTGTCGTTTGAATGAGCAGACGACAGTTTGAACGAGTTTGAAAGAGATTACGACCGTTTAAACGATACCACGGCCTTTTCACCGTGAAGTCGCACTGAACGGGGTCTGCGAGTGGTCCGGACGATTTGACGTTTTTTCGGGCTTTTTTTGGAACAAAACAAATATGTCTGACAACCAGAAGTGTCCGTGAATTTCACCCTTAAGTGTTTTGCGCGCAAGCAATCGCGTTCCGACGGTGTCTGGATTTCCTTTCACAGCACTTAACCGCAATCTCGGGCGAACCTAGCGCACAGAAAACACGTGGGAAATGATCTTCAAACCTCTCCCGGCTCTTTTAGTACAGGCGCATTCGAGGCGTTTTGACGAGAATGCTGGTTTTAGTATGGTTGCTTCCAAAACACCACAGGAATGCCCGTCCGGCATGGTGATTTCCGCCCACAGCCCCAGACCAAAAGTGCGCCCGACGAGCTACACCGCGGTGTAACTTAGCAGAGTTGAGTTGTTGCATACTAAAGCAAAGCTCACACTTAAAAGCCGACCTACAGTACTGTCTTCTGTAGGGAAGAAAACCGGTTTCCTATTTCCTTTTCTCCATTCCCTCCCCACATGGTAGCGGGCCTACACGTATTAAAATGATTGTGGCCATAGTTGTCTCGATTTTAGAGATGTTGTTGTTGTTGAAAACTTTGTTGAACGATATATCGAATAGAAAAGGGGGGATATGGAAGTAAAGTAGTAGAGAATATAGGTGGGTGCCCTTAGTCCAGGGCTCGAATTGCAGTGGTAACTATGACAGTTCTTCGTACAAGCATGTGTTCTTTGTCGGCGTCCTCGCTTCGCAGTCCTGCATCACACTCCTCCTTTAAAGGTTCTTCAGTTGGTTTAAGGCCTGGTATCTGCTTTCATACCCATACTAGGTGATGCACGTCGGCACATGGTGCGTCGCAGAAGGGACATCTCGGCGTGAGAAAGCGTTCTAGATACCATGTGTGAAGTTTTGCTGATGTGATGATCGCGTCCGTTTGTAATCTTCTCAAGGGGTGGTTCTTCCTCTTTGTTGAAGCTTTTGTGTGGTAGTGGGAACTCCCGCCTCGCTTTAGGTTGAGTCGCTAAGTGCGTTTTATAAGGCATGTCTGGTGATGAACTCTCAGGGCGTGTAGGCGAGTCCCGGTTGAGAACTGCTCGGGTTGCGGCATTTCCGCCACGTTTCCTGTGTGCCCCATGTGTCCCGGGGCCCAAACGACATGTATCTCCATGATTGTTTTTTTTTTTTTAGGATGCGTAACGTCGGCCGTCCAAGGGTACCTCGGGCGTAATTACGTGCAGGCTTTCTGCGAGTCGGTCATCATTGTGGCTCAGGAGTTGCGGTTGACGTCGAGGACAATAATTCTTCCGCTTGCTCCACCGAGTCCACCCGCATCAATGCAATCAAGGGATTCAAAAACGCCACACACGACAATCGTGAAAACCTCGTCGTTCTTTTTCGCTTCTTTGACATTTTTGTTTCTCAGAAACTAAACATGTGAAGACATTAAGATAAAAAAGGATTGTTCTTCTTGGAACATGTACCACGAAATATAAAAATTTGAAGCAAAATAAAAAAAAAATGCGGCTGCCCCTCGTTGCCTGAATCCAAATGAAACCGCTCAGCTATAACTGATAAGTGATTTTCTGAAAATTTCAATGGAAAAACGGAGCCCATTTTTGCCCGTTTTCGGTTTCAGGTGCCATAGAGCCCCGTGTATTCAAAAATTCCGTCGGTCATCAATTTCCCAATGAACTTTTTAGATCACTTATAACATTTGAATAAAATGTCGGTTCGGGCTGAAACTTTGGCATCTGGTTGTGACCTCTAGCGGTACCTTTGGGCGGAGAATCGGCGTTCGGCGATGCCAAGTTTATTTTTGCGTTAAAAAAAAAAGAACAAAACAAAAACAAAAACATGTAAACGTTTTTTTTTTTTGTGACACCTTGTACAATAGGTTTTTTATGCCTAGAGTGACATGCTTGCTTTTCTAGCTTGCAGCGCCAATACAGGCAGCAAGCGAAAATATTAAAGTGTAAATTCAGCCAAATATGCTTTGGCTTAATAAACACTGTGCCGCTTGTGTTAGAAATATTAGTTAAGGTAAAACCCAATTTACGCTTTTTTGTTTTCTTATTTTTACAAATTAATAATTGCATAGATATCTGAAGTCAAGTCGAAATGATTACGATTCAACCACATATATGCCTTTTCGTCGTTTTCCTTCAAGAGGCGGTGTCTTGTCAACCGTTGCCGCCGGCCATTCAGGCTTAAGAACGGCCAAAATCGGAAGACGATCTAGAAAACAGGGCGGGATCATGGCTGAAACTTTCCGATCTAATGGCTCGTTCACACATGCGGATTCGCAGGCAAATCTTTAGCGAAACTGACGCCAGAAGGGGGAATCCCCTCGCCGGCGACGAATAATCGGCCGCAGGAGCAATCGGTTCGCTACCGATATTTCCCGGCTGCGACGGCGTTCACGCCGCCGCAGCCAATTGGAACGCACCGAGGAAATGGAGCTTGCGGGCGTCACATCTTGACCTATATAGAGTCGCCCGAGTTGTTGAGGTTCCCGCCGGAGTTGTCGGAGTTCCAAAGTTGTGCCTGACGCCGCCTCGCTGACGTCATTCTGTCGAAAGATCGAGACGAAATTATTCAACCCCGTTCGACAAGAGGCATCGTAGCAACGAAGACAGCGCCCACAAAGAAGGTCTATATGATAAAATTGGCGTGATGGGTACGTACACACGACGTTTCCGTTTGCTCGTTCTATTAGTACTGCCTTTTTGTATCGCCGAGAGAATGTTGAGCATTTTCTCGACACTGCGTGCTAGCGTTAACTGCCAGACAAAGTCTGCGAGATATCTTTTCGAACACCACTCGAGCCAGGGTAAGTCTGCTCTGATATCCGCCAGAGACCGGAGTCGCGCGAACACAGCGAGCGGCAAGTAATGTGAACGGTGCCTTCTTTTCCCGCCTAGTACATTCGGTAGGCGGCAGGAGAAATTTCCGCAAGTGTGAACGCGGGCTAAATGAGGTAAGGCGAAGCGAAAGCCTGCTGCATCATTTTTTGCCGATGAACGTGCTTAATCTGCAGATCCAAGTCCCCTAAGCCTCACCCATTAATCTGCCACCTGGTCACTACCCGCATGTTTGCCGAGCTTGATTATCAAGACCCTTTTCCAATGCCCACGATATACTTGGGTATAATCAATGAGCCGCGTTCAAATATCGTCACTCTGGGGGCTGCCAACTAACCTTGCTCCCATCACTGGGACCTCCGAGCTACATCATTAAGATTTGCGAGAGAGAGATTGAAGGAAAACGCTCGCTTTAATCATTGAAATTACACCGCAGTGAAGAAGTTTCTTGGTCAGTGGCGTTGCTGGCGAACATACTTGGGTCCCACTAGTGCCAATAAGCTCGTGTAAAGCTTATTGGCCCCAGCTTATTTCAAAATGATATTGTTGCATAGCCCCGTTAACTTTGTAATACGAAGGAGTATTGGTACGTTTAACAGTGACATATGACTACTGTTACATTTGATTAATGTCGCAAACATTGTCAACCTTTAAACCGCGCTTCCTTTCCTATATGCGGAGCCCAAGTAGTTTACTCTGGCG